CAAAAGCAATACAGTTATATTTATTTTAACCATAAAAAATAATATCAAATCACACTAAAGTAGCATGCGAGTCATGCGACGTTCGACTTGCTGCTAGAAAGTAGGAGCACGCAAGCTATCTTAAATATACGACGCATGTTACCTCGTTGCATTATAGCCATTATAGCGAGGCTACTCCGGTGTGAAACCTGCCATATATTTCTAAAGGTTATAGCAGGTGTCCATGTGTACACTTACGACCTCCAAGGAAGACTCGAAATATGGGAAGAACTTGATACATAGGTCTCAATATGAACTACGCTAAAACCTTGGACAACATTCGCCAAATTAAGCTATACATCTTGAAAAATAGAAAATATCCACAATACCTCAAAACCAAAGTGTATAATCAATGTATACTTCCTGTCGTCACCTACGGATCCCAAACATGGACACTTACAAAGTCAAACATGGATAAAATAACAAAATCACAAAGATCAATGGAAAAACAAATTTTACATGTGAAACTGATAAATGAAAAGAGGAACGAGTGGATAAGAAATGAAACAAGAGTAAGAGACTTTAGAAAGAAGGTAGCAAAATTAAAATGGAAATTCGCAGGTCACAATATCAGACAAAAAGACGACCGATGGAATAAATGTATTTTAAGCTGGAGACCTGGGGAGAATAAAAGAAGTAGAGGAAGACCCCAAATGAGATATGCTGATGACCCGAAGAAGCACGCTGGAACCAAGTGGTCGTCGTATATTTAGATAGCCAGAATTGAGTAGCGCTAAGTGGTATCACCACGTTCCGCTACTGCGCTGGCAGTCCGGTTCCAACAATGAGTAACAGAAAGCATGATGGCGCTTCCAGGATCAAAATATTCCGGAGGTAAAATACCCGACCACTCGGATCTCCGGGCGTCGGGTGATCCTGGGGGTCCTTCATGCAAAGATATAAAGAGAAGATCAAAAACTCAACTCAGAATTGATTTTAGCAATATAAGAGGAATAAGTACAAATATGAATTCAGTTCACCAACATCTTGAAGAACAAAGACCTGACATCCTTGTTCTCACTGAAACTAAAATCAGTTCTGCAACACCTATTGTGAACTATCTTTATGCCACCACCGATTTCGACATAATTTTGGGATCTGTGTGTAGGTACATTAAAAATGACCTTTCATGTCATCGAGAGGAGAAGCTAGAACCAGCGAACCTCGATATCATATGGCTAAAATTCACCTCAAAGTCATCGACCAAGTTTATCTGCTGCCTCTACCGACCGCCATGTAACACCGAGTACCAAAACTTTTTCGCGACATTATCCGAAAGCTGTGATAGTATACAGTCAAACTATCCACAGGCGGAAATTGTCTTTTTAGGCGATTTCAACGTCCACAATATACCCTGGCTGAAACACCACAACAAAACAGATAACGAAGGCAGAGAAGCAGAAGCTTTTGCCATAAGTTGTGGTCTAACGCAGCTCGTCGATGAACCTACCCGTATCTCAGAAAGGGGCGAATTTGCAGCGCTTTTAGACTTGTTCCTAACCACAAATCCTGACTCGTACACAATCCAAGTAGATGCTCCACTTGGTTCGTCCGATCATAAACTTATAATAACAAAGTGCGAAATGCTCATCCCACCAAGCCAACAACCACTTCCTCGTAAAATGTGGCACTATAAATCGGCAAAATGGAATAACCTAAAACAGTTTTACCTGGATTTTCCATGGCAAGAGGTTTGCTTTAAAACAGCTGATCCCACTATTTGCTGTAATGAAATAACACAAGTAATTTTATCTGGAATGGATGCATATATCCCACATACAACGTAGAGCTAATGCAAAACCTTGGTTCAACGGCCAGTGTCAAACGGCTGTACAGAAAAAACACAGAGCATATAACCTTTGGAAACGACAACAAACCGCTCAAAACCACACAGAATTTATAGAAGCCAGAAATAGTTGCAAAATTACTATTGACTCCGCTAAAGAAACATACGATCAAAGAATAAAAAACAAGTTGCTGAATTGTCCAAGTAGTTCTAGGTCCTTTTGGTCTCTTGCAAAAGCTGTTAGATCTAACTTCACCAAGTCATCCATACCACCACTTACAGATGAAAATAATCACTTAGCCACAACATCAGAGGAAAAAGCCAATATGCTTGCCCAAATGTTTTCCTCCAACTCCAACCTAACAGTGCCAAACGGAAAAACTCCACCGTTCATTGAAAGGGATTCCCATAGTATGCCAGACTGCCAGAGGTACCCTTTTGTCACAGTGAAATACGAAAATCCCTTAAAAAGCTGGATACAAACAAAGCAATGGGTCCGGATGGCATTCCCGCAATAGTACTCAAAAATTGCGCCAACGAACTCACCCCAACTTTCGCAAAATTATTCAATTTGTCTTACAGGCAAGGAGAATATCCATCATCATGGAAGTCTGCCGCAGTACAACCCATTCCAAAGAAAGGAAAAAAGACAGATCCGTTAAAACTATAGACCAATTGCTCTACTTCCGGTGATATCAAAAGTAATGGAAAGAGTTGTGAACAATCACCTAACCAAGTACTTGGAAAAGTACAAAATTATCAACGATAAGCAATACGGATTTCGAAAATATAGGTCAACTGGCGATTTACTTACATACGTCACTCACTTATGGCAAAAAGCGATTGAGTTGCGGGGTGAAACAAGAACAATTGCCCTAGATATATCTAAAGCATTCGACAAAGTTTGGCATGAAAATCTGCTCAACAAGCTCAAAGCAATGGGATTATCGCCGAAACTTTGCACTTGGTTTGAAAGTTACCTAAAGGACAGATCCATTTATGTTGCACTGGATGGCCAGAACTCCAACTCTTACCAAATAAATGCTGGCGTGCCACAGGGAGCAATCCTTTCGCCAACCCTTTTTCTGATTTACATAAATGACCTCATAGATAAAACAGTAAATCCACTTTATTGCTTTGCAGACGATGGCAATGTAGTCTCCTCACTCATACCACCCACAGGTCTTTCCGCACGGGAATTCCATCATCTTAGACTAACTCAAATATCGCAGATAAATAAGGACCTGGAGATAATAGAGGACTGGGGTAACAAAAACCTTGTACAGTTCAACGCGCAGAAAACCCAAGCAGCTCTGTTTTCTAAAAAGACCAGCACCGGTGAGCCAAACATCATGCTATCTGGAAGTGATGTCACATTACAGAGTCAGTTGAACATCTTGGGGGTTACTGCAGAGACCAAAATGTCTTGGCACAGTCACGTGGCAGATATTGCTAAAAGGGCGTCCCAAAAGCTGGGGGTGCTATTTCGTACAAGACATCTGTACACACCAAGCCAATTGCTGACACTCTACAAAGCCCAGATTCGACCAACTATGGAGTACTGCTCACATATATGGAGTGCAGCACCCAAACATACCTTAATGCTTTTGAATACCGTGCAAAAACGAGCTATCAAGCTGATCAATGACCCCGCACTTACTCGTAACTGGGATGGTCTCGAACATCGCAGACCTGTGGGCGATTTATCTCTCTTCTACAGGTACAAATGCTCTGAAGAGTTGGCACGTATGATTCCACCGAGAGTAGCACCTACCAGGCGAACCCGTCAAACAGACGGTAAGCATGAATTTACTGTCAAACTAGAGGCACCAAGAACCTCATTATATCAGAATTCATATCTCTGGAGAACAGCATCGCTGTGGAATAAACTCCCTGCGACGGTTTTCCTTGCAGGTTACAACCTGAACCGTTTCAAGACCAACATACACCGACATTTCCGCGCACTTGCCGCTTCTCGCTCGAGCGTGATAGGACATTTCCTTGCGAGTGCGCATATCCGTAAAAAAAAAAAAAAAAAAAGTGGATGAACATGGCAATAGACAGAGAGGAATGGAGAAGACTGGGGAAGGCCTACGTCTAAAGATGGACTGAAAAAGTGAAAAAGGCTGAATAGATAGATAGATAGATAGATTGGGATAAACACAACCTACGGAGACTTTAATAGGTTTCCAGAAGAAGTCTGGATTTTGTGTCAGTTCAGAATTAGAATTAATTTTATCTAAGTATAATTTGTAACACTTTTCCCTCAAAACTTTACCTTCCACCATTTCTCGAAAATGAAAAGTCTACATAGTCCGCATGATTTTGCGTTCTTCTAAATTTGGTATGAGCAATTTTTTTCTGAACAAATTAATTTCGACTAAACCAGAATGGAAAATTTGTCGATCTAAAACGCTTAACTGGAACAAACTTCTCCAACGCAGAATAAAGAACATTGGAAAAACACTTCACGCATTTATCAATGTTGTCCGAGTCGCCCATGAAGAATTAGACAAATAGTTATCTACCGCATAAAAATCATAGGCTAGGTACCTATCGATAAGCCATCCAGTGCTTGACACACTCTTTCATCAATTCTACCAACATTTGATTAACTTGATCTTATTTTGGCTGTTTGCTGCTGCCATGTATTTACCATAAAATACTCTGTATAGGTTTATCTTGGAACTTGGTTTAAAATTAAAAGTTTGGTGGCTAAGTCTCAATTCCCGTACATTGTCTAATTTTCGAATGGAACACGATGAATAGCTCTACTAATTAGCTCAAAATAATCCACTAATTGTCTCATTAATCATCCCACTCGTAATACGAAATTGTCACGAATTCTACGGGTTCACTGAAACTTTGTTTACTAATAATAACTTTTATTGAGCTAATTGACTTTATAAAATTTACTTATCGCTTTCATTTAACTTTGCACAACAATTCTCTTGAGAATAAACTGCAACTTACAAAACTACCTACGCGAATCATACAAAATCATCAAATCAATTTTCTAAACGAAACCGAAAGGACAATGAGTCGATAAATGAATATGCTACGGAATTTAAGAAGATGGCAATTTCTTGTCTTCCTCACAACGGACTCATGAACGAACTTTATTGAAAAATAGAAGTTTTTCAGAAGCGTTTAAAATGACAAAAAGAAAAATTACCTGTTATAAGGATCCTTGTATTGGTTGGCATCTTGTGCAGAGGCGAAACACGTGGCACAAATCAGAATAGTCCATGGTGCCGTCTTTTTCCACCTCATGCCAAATTTGTAGCCTGGAAAAAAAGAATCTTGTAAGTTTTATTTTTTCTATAAATAGACAGCAGATTTATATAGGAGCGTGCCTTCCTAATGGGTATTTTGGTTAATTTAATTTAACACCAGGAGTATTTAGGAATTTATTCAGAATAAACAATTTGTGTAGGGTAATTAAAAAAATAAATATATAAATGGAATCCAAATACCTACACAAAGTCTAAAACGACTTGCCTTGAACATCAAATTATTAAAAAAAAGTGTTAAATTCTTTATGATAAGAGGCTTGAAATTCTTTATAAATGTTCGTCAAATACATTTCTTCATTCACATAAAATACAATATTATCTCATGTCCCAATATTCGCGTCCCCACAAACCTATAACTTCAATCAAAACACCCCCAAAAAGTGACACAAGCATCCTATCATTAACAAGGATTTATGTCTCCAATCCGGAAATAAGTGGCCCTCCTCACTTATCTCCAACTGTTACACACGTTCACCCTCTTAAAGTTTATTGTTAATTCTGGGGGTTTACTTATAGGCATTTATAAGTAAAAATGGCATAATGCGGTGACTTTACTTCCCTTGAGTAGTTATATACGGAAATAGGGGGTTGTGAAGGCACTCAAGTTTAATGTTTATGTGGTCTTTGGAGGGGCACAGTTTTCGCAATATAATTTTCTTTTCTTTGAGTTGAATTGAAAATGATATAGATATATAAATACCTACTTTGAACCAGTTATGGGATTTGAATAGAAACAATTGTCCGCTAGAGCCAGGCCATTAGGTAAATTTTAAAATTTTGGTGAGTTAGGGCATGTATGCCCTTTCAACAATGAGACTATTTGTTGCAGGTTTGTCTCCCTTTTTACATTTACTTCATCTTCACATCATCAATTTTTCTCAAGCAGTAAACCACCATCCCAGAATTTGTGCAAACAATTCCTCGAAGGGGAATTTTTTACGCATAATTCCTCAAAATTCCTGCAAATTCCCCCAAATTCCTCCAGATAGCTCATCACAAATTCCTCCAAATACCCCACCACAAATTTCTCCAAATACCCCACAAATTCCTCTAAATTTCCTCCAAATTCCCGCAAATTCCTCCAAACTCCTCTCAAATTTCCCACAAATGTCTCTTACAAATTCCCTAAAAATCCCCATAATTACTGGTGATAAGAAATTTATTTTTTCTATTTTTATTTCGCTTAGTAAAAATACAAGAGCAGTTTATCAAGTAGGAGCGAGGCGAGAGTATGATCCAATCAAAGTTACGTTAGAACTAATGATTGGTTTTCGGTAATCCAGAATGCAGGGGGTTTAAACTAACCTTAACCCGCATTTGATATTGTGTATTACCTAATTGATAAAAAAAACCATTTCGTCATAGCTACTTTTTGAACAACTTAGGTAGATATATATTGTTTCACAATATGGAGGGTAGGTAGGTACCTATATTGTCCCTTTTTATTTTGAATGGACCTTTTCCTGAAAGTTGAACAAGTTTTCAAGACCATAACCAATAAATTTAATCTGAACCTCAGCAAATGAATGTGTCTAATTCTTTTGTCAATAATTTGGAAATACGTTTGTAAACTCTTTTTTCAACGTTCAGCCTTTTTTCCATAATATAATGCTAGGATACATACTTGGATTTGGACACAGATTAAACTGAATTAATTGAAAATACAGTCTCACCCATTTCAAAGTTTTCCTGGAAAACTAGTGAAAAGAAAATTTTGAAACGTTTTGCATGTAAAGAGGAAGGGGAGAAGCTCATTTTCTCAAAATTTCAAATTTTTCTAGTAAAAAATAACAATATGAACAATCTTGGAAATCAACTTACAAAACTGAAGTACTTGTTAAAACAGTCTCACATAATTCAAAGTTTTCCTGGAAAACTAATTAAGGAAGTATTTTGAAACTTTTTGCATGTGAAGAGGAAGGTCAAAGGCTCATTTTTACAAAATTTCAAATTTTTCCAGTGGAAAATAACAACATGAAGAATCTTGGAAATCAACCTCCAATAACTGAATTAATTGAAAATACAGTCTCACACATTTCAAAGTTTTCCTGGAAAACTAGTGAAGGGAAAACTTTAAAACTTTTTGCATGCAAAGAGGAAGGGAAGAAGCTCATTTTCCAAAAATTTCAAATTTTTCCAGTGGAAAAAAACAACATGAAGAATCTTGGAAATCAACCTACAAAAACTGGATTAGTTGAAAATTTCAAAGCAGCTATTTTCAGCAGCGAAAAATGTGAAGTTAGCAGCCATTTTCAGCAGCCTTTTTTTATTTATATTTTTTCAACGTGAAGGTAGTTTCATTAATGTCTATGGTAGTTGGTAGTTTCCTCAAACCGACATGATGTGAGGAGGCTGTTAGGACACACAAAAAAATACATTCAAAAATTTAATAACGTAAAATATGATTAACTTATGAATCCTTCACCACAGCTTATTAGGGTGATAAATGGTGCTTAATCTTCAATCTAAACCTTCGAGCCTTCACGATCCGATAGGGTTAAAAAAAAACCACCCTCATATGTTAAAAACTCGCGGAAAAATGGTAAAAAAATGTGTGCGTTAATAAAACTTTGCTCACAGCTCATGAGCCTACTAAATGAAGGACAACCCCTTACGACCCGTCAGGGTAGGAAAAAACCACCCTAATATGTTAAAAAAATCGCAGAAAAATAGTAAAAAATTGTGTGCGTTGATAAAACTTTGCACACAGCTCATTGAGGTGCACTGAACCTACAAAATGAAGGACAACCCCTTACGAGCCGTCAGAGTATGAAAAAACATCAAAAAACCACCCCCATATGTTAAAAACATCGCAGAAAAATAGTAAAAAATTGTGTGCGTTGATAAAACTTTGCACACAGCTCATTGAGGTGCTAATGAACCTACAAAACGAAGGACAACCCCTTACGATCCGTCAGGGTAGGAAAAAACCACCCTAATATGTTAAAAAAATCGCAGAAAAATAGTAAAAAATTGTGTGCGTTGATAAAACTTTGCACACAGCTCATTGAGGTGCACTGAACCTACAAAATGAAGGACAACCCCTTACGAGCCGTCAGAGTATGAAAAAACATCAAAAAACCACCCCCATATGTTAAAAAAATCGCAGAAAAATAGTAAAAAATTGTGTGCGTTGATAAAACTTTGCACACAGCTTATTGAGGTGCTAATAAACCTACAAAATAAAGGACAACCCCTTACGACCCGTCAGGGTAGGAAAAAACCACCCTCATATGTTGAAAAAATCGCAGAAAAATAGTAAAAAATTGTGTGCGTTGATAAAACTTTACACACAGCTCATTGAGGTGCTAATGAACCTACAAAACGAAGGACAATCCCTTACGACCCGTCAGGGTAGGAAAAAACTTCAAAAAACCACCCCCATATGCTAAAAAAATCGCAGAAAAATTGTAAAAAATGGTGTGCGTTGATAAAACTTTGCACACAGCTCAATGAGGTGCTAATAAACCTACAAAATAAAGGACAACCCTTTACGACCCGTCAGGGTAGGAAAAAACCACCCTCATATGTTGAAAAAATCGCAGAAAAATAGTAAAAAATTGTGTGCGTTAATAAAACTTTGCACAGAGCTCATTGAGATGTTGATGAACCTGAACCTACAAAATGAAGGACAACCCCTTACGACCCGTCAGGGTAGGAGAAAACCACCCCCATCTGTTGAAAAAATCACAGAAAAATTGTCAAAAATTGTGTGCAGTAATAAAACTTTGCACACAAAGTGGTTATGAACCTACAAAAATGAAAAATAACCCGTTAGGGTTTTTACAATTTTCCAGAGTTCAATGAGAAAACTGTGTCTTTTGAATGCCTCTGTCGACAGGGACAGAACCACTAGCTCCTGATGCACTAACCCTACTTTCTAAATAATTGAAAAGCTCATTTGAAGTGGCAAGTTTGATGTGTCTTTGTACATTTGATAAGATCTATTAGTGAACTGATCTGGTTTTTTACGTAGAATACATATCAAGATCATGTCCCATTGATCTATCGGCTTTTTTAAATTTTTCAAAGCACCGATTTGTTGTTTGATCTGGCTCATAAACTCTCTTGAAGCAATGGGTGTACTTTTTTGCAACTTCTAGAATATTTTTCTACTTTTCAGACAAAGTCTGAATTTTGTCGATAACAGCCATTAAAATTTCTACAAAAGGCTTGCAGTTATTCAAATTTTTTCCATCAAAATGAGGTGTCAATATGCGGTAGTTTAGTATTAGAAATGAAACTACTAAATATATTAGATGCTGAAGGTTTACTGCTTGTATTTCCAATATTACCATTGCTATTTGTACTTGAACCCTTAGAAATATGAGCCTTTATTTTAACACAAATTAGAAAAAAACTAATTCTATTTCTTCTGATTTATCAGCTTTTTCAGGATTCAAGAGCAGAAGCCGTATTTGAGTGGTTTGAAATTTTTCAAAACTATTGTATAATAATTCTTTATTGTAGGTTCATCACCGCCTCAATGAGCTGTGTGCAAAGTTTTATTAACGCACACAATTTTTTACTATTTTTCTGCGATTTTTTCAACATATGAGGGTGGTTTTTTCCTACCCTGACGGGTCGTAAGGGGTTGTCCTTTATTTTGTAGGTTTATTAGCACCTCAATAAGCTGTGTGCAAAGTTTTATCAACGCACACAATTTTTTACTATTTTTCTGCGATTTTTTTAACATATTAGGGTGGTTTTTTCCTACCCTGACGGATCGTAAGGGGTTGTCCTTCGTTTTGTAGGTTCATTAGCACCTCAATGAGCTGTGTGCAAAGTTTTATCAACGCACACAATTTTTTACTATTTTTCTGCGATTTTTTTAGCATATGGGGATGGTTTTTTGGAGTTTGTTCTTACTCTGACGGGTCGTAAGGGGTTGTCCTTTATTTTGTAGGTTTATTAGCACCTCAATAAGCTGTGTGCAAAATTTTATTAACGCACACAATTTTTTACTATTTTTCCGCGATTTTTTCAACATATGGGGGTGGTTTTTTTTAACCCTGACGGATCGTGAAGGCTCGAAGGTTTAGATTGAAGATTAAGCACCATTTATCACCCTAATAAG